TGGTCGAGAGAAATGAAAACCCTCACTTCGAAGTTGGCGTCGGTTGGTGCATCCCGACTGCCTGGCTGGGGTCTTAAGGACGGTGAACACGTTTGGTTGGACACACTTGCTGATATGGCTAGAAGCCGGCCCCAATGGCGTTTGTGTTGTGTGTTCCTTTGTCCATTCCCCTCAAGTTTAGCATCCCCCTCCAATCACGATCTCACTTGTTAAGCATAATATGACTTTCTTTTACGGCAGCCAGCTGTTAGCTCTCCGGAACGATGTCCATCGATTACTGGGGACTCAGCGGGTGTGCCACTGTTTGTTTTTCTTTCCTTGTATTTTGTATTGCGGCACAATAGCTGAGGTGTTTTCCACCTCCAGCTAACGTGTAATGATGATGATGGTGATGGCCTGCTTACTGATAATAATCCTCTTTCAAATTGGAGTATTCCGTAAGACATTTTAATACTTCCTCTGCTGGAAAAGTATCGGGAATGTTAAATACTATGAGTGTGTTCTGAGGTGTCAACTTTCTTGGCTTGTTCGAGTTAGAGGAAGTGGCTTTGTCGGTTAAAGCTGCAGCACGTGTCAACGTCGCTACGAATTTTCTTACTATTTATTAGCTTCCAGCGTGCATCCTGTTTGGCGCTGATGCTGATCAGGTTGTTTAGGCTTGCGCTATCTGTAGCAACGGTAGGCTGCGAACCTGAAGGGCCTTTATGTAGATCTGTGGGTATTATCGGAATTACCGTTAATTTCGTTGGGATAGTACTATTTGTGATATCGTTATCTCTGGATCGGAGTGATATTGCTACTGAACATCGGTTGTGTTATTGGGCAGTCAATCGCAGTCACGGAGTCATTTAGGTCAGCTGCGCAAAGAACATTCTTGTGGATATCCTTATCACATGCAGTTCGTAAGTCCGTTTGCGATGGGTCAGGTGCGTTACTCAGTTTCTTTGGAACAGGTGTATGTATCCGCTCAAGTGGTGTCTTATCTGATTTTACAAGAATATTCTGAAGTTCGGTTATCGTTTATATTAACAATTTGACACTCTGTTTTTCAATTTCAGTAGCACCGGGCACGTATACTTTAAGCTGTTCTTTAGACCTACCGCAAGGCACTCTTCATTTTGAAGCCCGATGGTGTCTAGTAGTAAGTGTTTCAGCTTCTTCAGATAGCCTATCTGGGACATTAAACATTAACATTACTTGCACGGATAATCCGTTCAGACACTTCAGTGGAAATCACGGAAATAAAGCTACCAGTGATATGTAGGTGGTCGGATGGCGGATTAGGAAATGGGTTAGTTAAGTGAAAAAATGAATCCATAATAGGAACCAGAGGTTTAACGCCAGTCAAACTTTCTCCCAAATCTCAGCTTTCAAGTTCCTTTATTCTGTTCTGCAATCTAGTGCATTCATTGTTGTCCTATGTAGTGCAGGGAGTGGGATTATTAGCGCTTATTGTGACCGTTGTGATATTCGTCAATGCAGCAGCTTGGCTGGTGGCACTTTTCTTTCTCATGGAACACGTGTTTACGGCTATCATGAGATAATATTGGTTTTCTCACGCAAGCTATGCAAGCGTTTGAGGAACAAAATGTGAGATGAACGAGGGTAAAATAGGATAGTACTAGTCACGACGGTCACTTGTGATGCCTAAGTTAACGGCTCTAATCGCTAATCTCGTAGTCAGAAGTTGGGTGAAGTGGACCAAAATATGAAGCGTTTAGTGGCCTAGACTGTTTGTCCAGGTAATGGTTAAAGGGCAAACCGACTGCCACTAGTTTCTCGCCAAGGTCGTTTACTAGGGTGAGAGAATACAACCAAACTGACGTGCTCTGACTTCCAGTGCACTTTGGTTCCAGTTCACACGTCAGTCGAAACGCGCACGGTCAGATGACCGCCGGTGCTACTTGATTGGCCCGAGTGCGTAGACTGGAAGGCGCACTGGTAGTACTAGTACGCAATGCCACACTGGTGGAATTCTGGCGGACTGTTGTGTCGACAGCAGCTGCAATGCTAGATGAGGAGAATTCGTTTGTAGCTGTCATATACAGCTAGGGAATGGAGTTGTGCAGTTGTTAGACAGCACTTAAACCGCTTCCAGAAATGGTCGGCATTTGCGGTGTAGAATGCAAAGTCAACGAATTTGTGGGCTTGTGTTGGTAGTGAGGAAACGCGAAATTAGAAAACGGACAGTTGATCTATTACATAAGTCATCTTCACTTGTCATACGAACTGTCCCGTTGACATCACCAGACGGCACTATTCTCTGCGACACATCGCTGGGCAAGCCGCGCCCAGTCGTCCCACGCGAGTTCCAACAAATCGTGTTCTACGCGCTGCATGGGTTGTCTCAACCAGGCGTTTGTGCAATGGTTAAACAGATGCCCGCTAAATTCGTTTGGCGCAATGTCAACCGTGATGTCCGCACTTGGGCTACTGCTTGCCTTCCATGTCAACGCGCGAAGGTTCATGAGCACACAAAAAGCCCATTATGAATATTTCCCACGCCAGATACACGTTTTCACCATGTACACGCCGACCTCGTAGGTCCTCTGCCGCTTTCGAAAGCCTCTGTATATCTACTGACCTGTGTCGATCGATTCACTAAATGGCGTGTGGCCATCCCTATCCGTAAGTGCACACCAGACAGTCGCGAAAGCGTTTTTAGAATGCTGGGTAGCACAATATGGCTGCCATGCCATAGTGACCACTGATCGTGAATCATACATTCCGTCCACGTTCTCTTCGTTGCTTAAGGACTTAGCTTGCCCCCACGTCCAGAAGACGGCATATCATCCGGCCGCTAACGGTCTGGTGGAGCGTTTTCACCGTCAGTTGAAGACAGCTCTACGTGCGCACCCAAATCCTACATAGTCCAAAACACTTCCTCTCGTTCTCCTAGGCTTAAGAAACACTGTTAAGACCGACTTCGAGGCAACACCAGCGCAGCTAGTCCGTGGCTACACGTTGCGTTTGCCTGGACAACTACTGGCACCAGTCACGTCTACTTCCACTTTTGGTTGGCTCATCAGATGCGTGGGCCACGTCCACTCGCTTCTCGATCGCAGAAGACACCAGTGCACATGCCCGAGAAGCTGTCTATGTGCTCACACGTCCTTCTCCGCGCTGAAGGTATTAGGCAGCCTCTTCAGTCGCCATACATAGGACATTTCAAAGTGCTACACCGTACCAATAAGGCATACATTAATGACCGCAGTAGTCGACACGAAGTCGTCACTATTGATCGCCTCAAACCAGCTTTCATAGACAAAGCCACTGAGTCTATGGCTACTTCGGACGCTTCGTGTGCCGCTACGAATAATCGCGCCACGTTACAAACACGTAGCATTCCTGAAGCGAATACCGATTTAGACTCACAGGCTAGGATCGTTCCGAAGTCATCGTCTTCTGCGTGGCTGCCGCCTACCAAGACCAATCGCCGTGATCGGGAGGTTTGTAAGCTCCTTCGCTTTTCCGACTATATACGGTCTAGATACGTTTAAGTTTGTAAATATTCCATATATTTACCCCGATTTCAGTTGATTAACGTTTTGAAAACAGGAATCATAAACTACCGAAAAATTATTTTAAAAAATCCAAAAACCAAAAAGGCTAAACATTTTTGCACGCAAGCCATTCGTTCGTTATTTTTGGCGTGTTCTACGCTTTTTTCATTTTTGTTTTTTTCACACATGAACCAATCCTCTCTTTCTATTAACTGGCCCTCACGAACAACGTTTTCGAGGATCGCCGCAGTCAGGGAAAATTTCATCGCGTATACTGGATGTTTTCTTTGTGGGACGTGGGTCGTTTTGGCGCGGGGCAGAATGCAGCGGGGGGAGAGCTCGCTCCCAAACCCATCGTTTGGCAGCAGCGGACATTGAGGTTCTATCGGCATTTTTGCCAGACTAGGCAGTTTTTTGAAGTCCGACAAGTCCGGCCCAATGGCTCTGCGAAATACACCCTACCCTGCAATCAATCAATAATAAATAACAAACGACACAACAGACCGATTTCCGGCGAACCCCATTTGACACGAACGCAGACTACTTCTTACGCGGCACATTTTTGCCCAACGAACTTCGATTCACACACCATTTTCGACGTAGGCTTCTTTTGTTCGGCGTTCTAGGGGAGTTCTGTAGCGTTCTAAAAGATAAATATCGTTTTTCATATGCAATTTCATTGCTGACTAACTGTACCTTATTCTTCCTTGTTTTAATCTCCCTTACATTCCGGCCATGTTGGCCTACATCCGGCCAGTCACTCATCTGCCCTGTAAGTTACCGTGCTTACGTTCGCTTCTTTCTCACTTCATCCGTCCACATCTTTTGTAGCCCCTCGAATTTTGTCCCATGCATCCAACCTCATTTTACCTTCTGATATTTGCGCTTGAGTACGCGCATCGTCTCGATCTAGTATTTACCGGTCCCACATCAGCGACAGCGCTCTTACTGTTTTTTCTTCCACCACGGGTCTTTAATAAGTTAGCCGTCTATATCCTTCGCATTTCTAATCTGTCGGGAAGTAAGACCGAGTTTGAATGATACATCTAAAATGCTTGGCTCTAAATACATTTGGACACTACTACTCCGTCTAGCCCATTGTACCGTGAAGACATGCACACACTACCGCATCGCCCTGTGGTCTGGTCTTATCATTACGTCTGCTGTAGCAAAACTGATTAACGCTCACTTGCTCTTATCGACTGTACCATCTGCCGCCGTGCCTAAGCTGCAGCACGCTTTGTCGCTGACTCTGAACTACCTTCCTTGCAACTCACTTAACCTCGTCACCCCTAGTTTCCATTCCACTTTTTCGCGCCTTTCCATTTGCTTAACTTGAGAGGTTTATCCGATTTGATCACATGTAGTCTTCTGTGGCCTCCTTTTCCTTTTTCCAACGTTGTGTCACTCGATTTTCTCAGCCTAACCGTATTTCATCGACTCCATGGGCCTCGTGAGCTATGAATACCTCGTTATTTTCGTTTCAGTTTTTGTTCAATGGATCTGCTTTTTCAGTCGCTTCGGATTAAGCTCTATCAATCGGATCACGACTTGTTACTTTTTGATGAAGAAATATCAAGATTAGAGAATATCCTTCGCTCACTTGTTTTTGCAGGTGAGAGCAACTCACTGTTGATTTTGGGTCGCAGGGGTTCAGGGAAAAAGCGCGTGAGTTCTGTTCACCTTGCTTATTGTTAATAGCTCGTTTCTCATGCGCTAGAAAATGTTAGGAAGGATCTCACCGTGAAACAGAATTTACTGGAGGTTCATCTGAATGGTTCCTGTTTTCCTAATCGATCTGATATAATTCTCATCTCTTAGGTCTGGTCCACACTAGTGATCTATCTGCACTCCGATCAATGGCGAAACAGCTACATCGTGAACTCCTTCTCGATAACTTCGATCCAGAGGCATCCACCCACAAGACTGAAGAAATAAAAATGCACAGTTTTTCTCAACAATTGAGATTATTTCTCAATGAGGTGTCCAACGGCAAGGACACTTCCAAGTGCCTCCTCATCGTGTTACACGAGTTTGATTTGTTCGCCATGCACCGCAATCAAATTCTGTTGTACAACCTTTTTGACTGTTGTCAGTCTAGCGCCAATCCCATTTGCGTCATCGGATTGACGTGTCGCTTAGTAAGTTGGGCATTATTGCTGTTATCACTCTTGCTATAATTATCATTTTAATTGCCATGCCTGTATCGACGTTTTCATTACATGTGTCGGATATCTTCTCTTCATTTGCGCTAAACCGACTCCATCTAACTCCACTTACTATTAGTGACTTGTGCTGTCTATACACTCCAGTTTGTCGCGTGAATTTTTATCTGCTGTTTTGTTTCTATTTACAAATTCAGCGAGGTATTGGATACGAGTACCCAGTGATGATACGTGCGAATTACGCTTCATGGCTAAAGGCTTGCAACAAACATCCGTCGTGTAGACGGCGGGCTAAGATGAGCCGGATACAGCCAGATACTGGAGAGGTACTGGAGAACAGGACACAAGGTCCTTTGCGTTCAGCGTTGTCTATCAGTATCTTGTTATGACTGTACCACAACTCGATTATGTAGCATGCGAGTCGCTACACTGATCTCCCACAAGACTAACAGTAGACATATTCGCTCACTGAATGCAAGAGGGAACAACGGCACTCTATCGTCTGGGGTAAACTGGCGAAACTATCGGATGGAAGGGCTGCTGCTGACCTGAGTCTAAATGATATGTTTTCTGGAGTATACACAGTACTGACGTTTTTGTTTGCCTTCATTGTTTATTATTTGGGTGTGGATTGGTGCAAATCATAAATTGGGTAGTCAAAACGGTTTAGTTCAGAGATAAGCGAACAGGACAGCTCCCCGTACTGGCAAAGCGGCCCGCTTAGGAGGAGTCACTATGCTTCTCCCACCGCATTCTCATTCATCTGGTTCTCACGGAATTGGTGAGACAACTTTAGTTGACTTACTATTACGGCAGTGTTGCAGGACGTGGTGGGTTTTCGCCTGGCAAGCGTTCTCCCTATAAAAAACCACAAATGTCTGTTTAACAACACTGCGACGTGGCGGATGTGACTCGCCACTGAATAAAGTCACTGCCCACAACTACATACTGGCAAGTCGACTAGACTCACATATCAACTCTTCCCGACACCGTTTCAACTACACACGATGGAACCCGATGTATCGTCGTGATACACATCTGTTTTTAAACCTTGATCATGCCTGCGTTGGTGTGTCTCTATGATACTGAGAATAAAACTATTTATTTATGTTAAACCAAGAGCGTTTTTGATCAGCTGGGTTGACTAATGTCAGTCTGCGGCGAATACTTGGATGGATCGCGAGAGGTTATCCGGTACAAGACGAATATAAAAAATTTATGGTAGTTGTGAGAAATTGAGCTTGTAGGACCTAGCTATCATTGCCGAAGCCGACAGTTTGAAATACCAGTCGACAGTGGATAGACAACAGGACGACGCGGTAGACAAGTCCGAACATTTTTATAGATTCTCTATACCTTTGTTATATCCATTGGCATGCACGTTATTCACCGTGTGTGGTAATGGTGAGTTTCACTCACAAAGGTTTTGCAAAATCGATAAAATAAACTCCAAAACAATTTGAAAAAGTAAAAAAGCGTGTTTCCTTTTATTTTGCATTCCATGTTCCCTGTCCGGCGTCAAGTTACCTCCCGTACTTCTTGCCCACACTCACTGAGTTCTAACTTCAAAAATCGGTACCACACAAAATGCCAAGGCAACCCTCGAGTTACTCGCCAAGTGGCTCAAGGTCTTTCCCTGACACAAGCGACGATCAATCGCTCTTGAACGCGGACGACTTAAACCGGATTGATCTCGAAACCCTTCACAACCGGATGTCGACGAAGAACTAAGGATTTCTTCGTGGAATGAGGGTCGTTTTGGCCAAGAACTAGGGTGCGGTAGTGAAAGTTACACCTCCCAAGCTCACTGTTGAGTCAGCAGCAGAGGAAATGCCATGGCAGCAATTTATCTGGACAATCCGGTTCCTTTTGCGGTCCGATCGGCCTGGACCGAAAGCTCAGTCAACTTATAAAAAGTGATGATGCCTAAACCCAGTGAACTCAGCGAAAGACTTCCTTTTATAATCCCACGTTCAATCACTCTTTGCACCTACCTATACTTTATATTTCCAACTCACCTGATAGATATATTGAAGGCTTACGGCACTCGGTCTTCTAGGAGTAGGCCTTTGTATTGAACCCGGAATATTCACTCTTTCAGAATTGCACAATCATTGAGTTATATTGGTCTTTGTACCTTCCGACTGCGCGTGCGCTACGTTTCCCTTTACCATTGTTGGTTCGTTGACCTATCCTTTAGCTTTTGCAATTGTGTTGGGTCCAGCTGCTTCGACTTTATTGATCGTTCTGTAGTTGGCACGCATCCTACGTGTCATCACTATGGACTAATAATCTAGTATCACAGGTCCACTCAACAGGGGTGATCCACTGACATGCTTAGTGAATAAACCCAAGCAAATCGATCATGGATTTTGTTTAGGAACCTGAGTTCTCATGGGTACCTAATTTGACACAACCCAGGATCTAAAATTGTCTAGCGGTTGGCCAGGGTCGGTTGACGCAAGCGACGCCTTGAGGGGCAGCAGCGGAACCGGTGGAGTCAGTTCCTTTGGTACAGCACCGTAACACTACCAGTTTAGCAAGTTATTAGGCTGCCGAACGGAGCGAACGTTCCAGCAAGTTGTTTTGACATTAAGTCTTGTGGACGATGTGAGTGGGCTTCACGCCTGATGCACGGAGAACCAGCCAAATGTGGAATACAGGTGCGATGTCAGTGGCTGACAAATACGCGTGGACTTCGACTGAGTGAACAAGGGTCGTGTTTTGACGCGAAAAAACGGACAAATATGCCAGATCGATTCCGTGGAACGCGTGCATATTGGATGATGCAGGCCGCCGAAGACGCGGGGATCATTGTTTCCATAATAAGATTATATGGTTAAAATATAATTAGGTAAGTATTTTTCATAGAATATACAGAGCGTCTACCGAGGCTTGCTTGTGAATTGGACGTCAAGCAGAGCAGACTATGAGTATGAGTACTGCAGAAGAAAAAGTACAACAGTGTGGACGGGGATATACCGACCAAGCCAAAAATGCCAGTCAGCTTTGAAAAATTGCAAGCACTGTAGAAAAAATACAAGTATATTTATTCAGTGAAGGGTCAGACCAAACATGATTTGGCGGCGTCCGTGTCCGGATTTGCCTGTCACTGTGACATCCATGCGGACGGTCACAGGACGCCTGCGCCTACAAGCATATATGCAAACAAACAGACCAACACACGATAAGCGAGACAGGTTTATCACCCCTATCTCCATGACAGTCTAGTGCTAACCGATAATTGTTTCTGAACACAAAGCAGCGGCTTAATCCGGTTAATTGCAATCGCCTTTGCGAAACGGAGGAGGCGTGAATTGGTGTGCTGTAATAGGATTGCGGGCGCCTAAGTGACCTCGACTCGGTGACCAGTGGTCAATAAGTGTCGGCCGATCGCAGAAGCTAGTGGTTTACCCAGACAAGCAACTTGACTCTGGCCAGTTTACTGCTCGGTCGAACGTGGAACCCACTTAGGTACGTGCTCCTTCATTCGGGAACTCACAATTCTAACTGGCGTCGCAGTCATTTATGAATTGGTAAAGTTTGAGTCTTCTTTACAGAAGGAAGTGGTAGCTTTTAGGTTTTATTAATGACAACGAGCTTGGTGGCATAGTAAGTTGTCTGTGTGGCACAGATCAGACTCCTTGTGGTCCTCAACTAGGAGGCGTCATCTTTGCATGGTAGTTCAATGAATAGAAGCTTCTTGGGTACGGTGTGCACCAGGTCCCTTGGTTACACTTAACTATGTTTCTCGATGAACCGTCGGGGGTAGTCGTTTTCAATGAACGTGTTGGTAGTCAAGTGCACTTCATCAGCCAGGCAATCAGCGGAGTAGATTTATCTGGCACGGCTAATCAGGGTTCTCACGAGCGTCCGCTTGTATTACATTTGTGTGAAGCTAGTGTAATGCAGATACTGCCCGGACCATGTTTATTTCCTGTAGGCAGACCTCTTAATCTGCCCATTTTCTCTGCGGCTGATACGGATATCCGAGTATGTGAGGCAATTTTGCTTCTCTACCTCACAGGAGACCCGAAAGTTGGCATCCGCAAAATTTAGTTGTGTCACCAACTGCTCCATCCGATGCACCGATGAAAAAATTGCCAAGATATCATCCACGTAGCGTTTGTAATATGACAGTCGAGATATTTCTCCAGACATACCTTGTTCTACCATTACATAAAGAAATCGGCAAGTACCGGGCCCAATGGACTGCCTATGGCTACTCCATTAATTTGACAGTACGGTGTGTTTCTGAACTGAAAGTTGACATTCGCCGTACACAACAACGACGAGTCTCTTGGTAGTTCAACTGGCATCGGTAGTGGAGACCGCGAACTTTCCGCTAGTTCACAAATGTAATAAACAGTTTCGTGCAGGGAAGATTGGTAAACAGTGATTCCGCATCTAACGAGCACATGACCTTGTCGGATACCTTAAGTATGTCGAGGTCGTCGATAAGCTCGAAAGAATCTTTGAGGCTGTATAGATTGGTCCACTCTCGCAGCGGAGAAAGCAATTTCACCGGCCAGCGAAATGCATGCTTTTCCTGGCTTCTTCTTTTTACTGCTCTCTTCAAAGTAATGAAGGGAACTAACTGTTTTAAATTGCAAGTATATTTTGGAAAAGCACGGGACTGTTTGATTGACTGATTGAGCAGAAATTTTCAATACAGACATGCTCGTTATCAGCGGCAAGTAATTGCGGCATCTTCCGGAAACGCTCTCGTAGAAAATCGTTTAATTCCGCTATGATGTTGCTGCTGGCACCACAAAGATGCAGACGTTTCGTATTGACCTGTCGAATGTATCAGAGGATAAGAATTTTTACCTAATGCTAAGAAATTTGGGTGCGGCTGAGTATGAAAGATTTACGAAAATTATCTTATTGAGAAGCAGGCTATGTTGATATTGTCGCAGGTAGTCGGGAAATAAGTGTCGTTCTTCAGTATTCGCTACGTATTTCAAGTTGACCAAAAAAGTCGTTGAGGATAGGTCCGCCACTCAAGTCGTGTGAATCGTAAATGTAAACGATTGAATTAGGGGGGGGGGGCAGGAACTATCTGCTTAGCTCCCTCAAATTGACGAATGCGTTATATTTGTTCTGCGACTCTTCGCTACATTTGTTCTGTAATGCTAACAATTTCCCCTTCTTTTCCGGAGTTCACACTATAGAATCACATACGGAATTTCAGTGCTTGGCGATAGCAGATTTCCTATTGTACCAATACCTGTTACTAATAATAATTGCAAATTTGTTTTAATACCTTGCCTATGGATAATGCGGTCAGTTATCAGTTTTCGGTTGTCATACCGCACAAATTGATCGCGTGATCTACGGATCATTTTTCGCTGCTGTAAAATATGCTATTGGCTTATTTATTAGCATA